TTTCTTTTTAATCTGTAATGCGAAAACACCCGTTTGTATGTCCTAAAGTCGTTTAAACTATGAACTTTGTCGCCATGTTAAGTTTTTCAAAAAAAGTAATATTTATTTACAGAGAAACAGCCTAACTAGTTTTTGTTAAAAACTTATCATTCAATTTTCTCTAAATTTTTCTATTCGTTATAGATTTTTTATGAAAATGTGGACGAAATAATTTGCACTTTTTTGCTGATTTCTATGTCCTAAAGTTGTTTAGACTATGACCTTTATAGCCATGTTAAGTTTTCAGAAGAAAAAAATTTACAGAAAAACTGAGTGGCCGGTGTTTCTTAAAAACTATCTATGAATTTTCTTTAAATTTTCCTATTTGTTTCAGATTTTTACGGAAATGTAGACGAAATAATTTGCACTTTTCTACTGATTTCTATGTTCTAAAGTTGTTTAGACTCTGAACTTTGTCGCCAAGTTTAGTTTTCAGGAAATAAAATATTTACAGAGAAGCTATCCGACCAGTCTTTCTTAAAAACTATCTATAAATTTTCTTCAAAATTTCCTATTCGGTTCAGATTTTTTTGCGATAATGTGGACGAAATAATTTGACTCTTCTACTGATTTCTATGTTCTAAAGATGTTTAGACTATGAACTTTGTCACCATGTTAAGTTTTCAGAAAATAAATTATTTACAAAGAAACTGCCTGACCGGTCTTTTTTAAAAACCTTCTATGAATTTTCTTTAAAATTTTCTATTCGGTTCAGATTTTTTTGCGATAATGTGGATGAAATAATTTGCACTTTTCTGCTGATTTCTACGTCCTAAAGTTGTTTAGACTATAAACTTTGTCGCCATGTTAAGTTGTCAGAAAATATAATATTTACAGAGAAACTGCCTGACCGGTCTTTCTTAAAAACTACCTATAAATTTTCTTTAAATTTTCATATTCGGTTCAGATTTTTTTACGAAAATGTGGATGAAATAATTTACATTCTTCTGCTGATTTTAAAAAGTTGCAAAATAAATCAACGTCGTATAGAATTTCATCGAATGGCTTTCAAATTTTTAAAATTGCTTACGCTGATTTTTGAGAAATCTTCGTCAAAAGATCAAATACACACATAGATCTTTAAACACTTTATACTTTATACCAATTTTAGTATAAACAGCTTCTGAATGACTTGAAATATCGAGATCTGACTTGCTAGATTTTCTAAACAAATTATTACATTATCTTTTGTTAAATTAAAAAGTAATATCAAGTTTCATCGAATAGCTTTCAAATTACAACAGCTAATATTGCTTTAGCTGTTTTTTTGAGAAATCTTCGTCAAAAGATCAAATATACACATAGATCTTAAAACACGCATACTTTATCTCAATTTTGGTGTAAAATGCTTCAGAATAACTTAAAATATCGAGATTAGCAAATCGGAATTTCTGGACAAAATTCTTTTGTTAAATTCAAAAGTTAAAAATCTTTTCCGAATCTTGAACGTTATCATCAATAATATTGAACATTGAAGAATTACAATATTATATAATAACAAAATTAGATGATACGTGTATCATAAAACTTTTTAGTAATTATAGATCAAACAACTGCAACGTATGGTGAAAATAATATCTTATTTTTAGGAGAATATATATATTCGGCACATCCAAGGCAAGGTCTTCATATTTATTAATAATTTGTATTGACATAGATTTTCTTCGGATGTGCCGAATATATTTGTCTTCTGGCATGATATTTTCACACATTTTTTTCACATTTATTATTCACAACTCAAATTATAAAATAATATAATAAAATATCGCAATAATAAAATTATATAGACTCGTGAAAATGGCCTTCAAACCTCCTTGTTCAGGTTTTTTTTTGAATCAAATAAAATGGATAATAAATTGTTTTGACAATTAACTTAATACATAATTTATAACTGGTTGTAAGATGAGATGGCAAGATGTTTGAGCACTACTTTCAATGATTTTAATATAGTTAACAGCGTGTGTTTCCCAAAAAATTAATAAGTCTTAATAACACATAAATAAATATGAGTTTTCAATTTTCAAAATTAAAAAAAAATACATCTCCGCCGTGACAATGTAACGACATTGCCGTGACCAGGATTCGAACCTGGGTTACCACGGCCACAACGTGGGGTCCTAACCACTAGACGATCACGGCTACCGGAGACTTGATAAATTTCGTAGAAAGTTACGCATTTACCGATATAATATATTTATATCACTCTTGAAAACTGAAATTCTAATAATAAGAGTAACTAGCGGGCGCATAGCATCGTGACTTAAGGCAAATTGCTTGAACTTCCCGTACCAAAAAGTATTATTTTTTTAAAAACGATTAACATTTTTGAAAAATTTTTACTTCGAAAAAATTAGATTTTTGAAAATCGTTTTTTTTATTTTGACTTATTTTGGAAATTCTGAACTTTTTTTCAAAGCAATCGTATTGCTTTAACTGCATAGAGACGAGATGTCAAAGCGCGTAAACGCCGCCTCGCCGTCTAATGGATAAACATTGGTACGGAACCCATAGGAATGTAAACAAAATTTATACTTACTTCATCCGTGTTCCCGAAATCGTCGACGAAAATTGGTATCCGCACATACATACACACACGCACACACACATACACGCACACATACACACACACATACATCCAGTTTTTCTAAGGTATGCCAAAATGTTCAGAAGGTTTTGAAACGTAAAGATATATAAAAATTTTCATTTTCGATTTTTTTGCGATTACTATAACTTGCCCTACGGGAAGTTAAAAATACGTATAACATATGTTTATAAAAAACAATATAAATAATAAAAGCAAGAATGACATTCATAATGTTCAATAGAATTTGTCATGGCTTATACACACATTAGTCAGAATGACTCTATTTGCGTATGTGCTTCTCGAGTGCTGAGCATACTGTTGAATTTAATGAACATAAATGTTTGATAATTCATCAAATTTTATTTATCACATAAAAATGATTCAATTTAATAATGCATTAATTAAAATTTTATTTAATTACTTAACGCAAATCGGCTATATTATTATATAGAGAATATATTGTATTTTTGTTTTATTTCAACACGGATTTTTTTTTTAATCTGATCTTCCAATATAATGTTCAAATACATAATTGTAACAAATAGATAATAGTTCATATTTGGGTCAATCGTTTGATTTCAAACGTTTGCCTATATATTGAACATTATGTGAAATTTATACTTGTTTTACAGTTGTACCTAACGATAATTTATACCAGGTATTATATGTAATTACAGATGAATATAAGTGTTTTGAAACAAAACTCATCAAATGAATACTTAATCTTCGTTAATAATAAATGTGCAATGAATTTGCTTTAAACGGTTTTGGGATTAATAAGAGTATATTGAATATTTCTATATTGTACGAAGACATGACATAAGTTTTTTTAGAGTGTTTTATCTCACTATAAAATGTCTTACATTTATTTATAATTAATCGTTTGTAAATAACTTTATGAAAATTCACTTACTTTCATAATAAAAGCGTTAGGTTTTTGTTTTTTTTTTAGAGGAATAAATAAAAACACAAATATATGAAATATGATTACGAAACGTTTGTTTTCTCCATTAACAAATGTGGATGCTTTAGGTTAAATTATCAGTGAATAATATTTCAACCTACTTTTATTGAGATTGTTGAGTGCCCCTTCTTAAACTCTCAATTTTGTCCCTATGCGTTAAATATTTTAATGTCTTGTAAAAATGTTTATGTACTTTTAATAAAATAATATCTAATTAAAAATAAACATTGCATAAGGCAATCTATTTGATCATTTTATAAATATATATCTATTGAATTCACACTGCAAAATATCTGGCATTATTAGATTGCTCCAACGACCTCGTCTGATTTATTAAATCACATTTAAATTGCAGAACGTCATTTGGCAATTGGTTAAATTAATTCAGTCAGTTGAAATTTTTCAACGATGCAACTTTATTTCTTAATCGAGTTTTATATTAAAACTTTGTATTCAGCCCTATTCATTTATCAGTAATGATTTGCAAGTATCTTAAATTATATCATGTATTTCGTTTATCTATTCAAGTTGAACTTTAGGACAGTTGTCAGTGACTGATGCGCACGTTATTTTGATTTGAGTTAAAATAAAATTTGAATTCAATTTTTTAATAATCTATATGTAAAAGACTGATATTTATTTTACTTAATTAGCGCAGTTGTACAAGCGCTTTGGCATTGTCTTTGATAAACTGTTTTGTGTTGTTAGCACATTTGTTTGTGTTTATTATTTTGATCTAATTGCAAACATTATTGTTTTGTATTGATACGACTACAAACATGTGGTGAGTTAGTTTATTTTAATGAAAATAGAACTAATAATGCTCTAATTCTGATTTTTTTTAGATTTACCACAGTAAATCTCTATAAGGCTCTGAGAAATAATTTTTAGAGAGATAGAGATCAAAAATCCAAGTTATAAACTATACTATAGGAAACTATCTTTAAAAATGAGGATTAATGTAGTTTAAGCTTTACTGAAATTTAAAAGCTTTCCTTAAAAAATCTATTTTTCATTCATTATTTTATCTTTGGTTTCTCATAAAAAGTTTGTAAAACACTTACTAAAATTATATTCACTAATAGATGGGTATTGTTGCGAACTTGTGAAGGACTTGCGAAAAATTTTCAACTTTCAATACAAAAATGATTTTTATATTAGTTATTTGTGATTTATTACAATATCAGCAATATCATGTGACAATTTGCTGATTAAAATCATTGTACGCAAAAGCCATGAAAAAAAAAGCAAACATGTGTTGAAGTACTACCATTGTTTCGTCTAATACTATTAAGAGTAATTGAAAGCAGAATATTATATCATTCGAGGATATCTAATAATACATAATATATTATAAATTATTTTTTAAAAATTAGTTGTAATATATTATATAAAACATATTTTTTGTCGCAGGCATCTTCAAAGGTTTTGGGGTGCATCAGGTGACTTTTGGCAATCACGATGGGAAAGAGTTCTTGATGTTGCAGGTTAGTTGGTCAATTAATATATTTAAATAACTTTATTATTTATATATTATATCTAAATTCACATACAATCATTAATTGTAAATAATTATATATGTTATAATAATAGGTTCATACATTAAAGTAATTTGCATTTAATTGCTTGTAAATAAGATATAAAGTTAGAGAATATCATTATTAAAATTTATGCACATATTTATATTAGTGTAAACAAAATTATTTTGATTACCATATTAAGATTTGTGATGCATTTAAATAACATCATGATCAAATATTGATACAAAATATCAATTCACAGGAGATGATCCATTTTATTTTTGGGTTGTGTACTCAACGGCCTTAACGATAGTTGTCTACTGGTCAGTAGGAAGTATTTATACATTTCTGGACGTTACTAATAAACCTGCATCTTTAAGAAAATATAAAATTCAACCCGGCACAAACGAACCAGTTGATATGAAAAGGCTAATGAAGGTATGTTCTTCTCATAAACCAAAAGATGCATCATGCAATGTGTAAAATTTAAAGTGGTCAAGTCATATTATTCGATGTTAAAATATGTGAATTAATTTTTGCCAATTTTTTTTATATCGTTAGGTAATAGGATGTGTTCTTTTCAATCAATTCCTGGTTCAAGTTCCCTTAACTCTACTTGGATACAATTGGGTTCAATGGAGAGGTGGTGATATGACAAAAGTTCGAGAACTACCAACATTTCACTGGGCATTTATACAAATAGTTCTTTTTATAATAATCGAAGAAATAGGATTTTATTACTCACATAGGTATAAGATTTTTTTTTAATATTTCTAAATGTTTGTTGGCGGAAACAATCTAATAGTTAATACTTTTGCAAATTTGTATACATTTGAATTCTCTCCAACTTTCATCAGTATTTTTTATTAAATTCATTAAATAATTCAGATATGAGTTATAAAGAAAGACGAATAGCAGATTGTTATTTGCACTCAAGTTGAAACCACAAAGATCATTTTTTATCGGGTTTTATCATATATTTTTTATCGAAATTGCGTCTGTATCGAAACACGTTGGTGGGGAAAAACGTGATATAATAATTGCCAAAAATTGACCTTAGAACGAAACAACCTTTGAAGCCGGATTCAAAACATAAAAAATCAATTATAATTATCCGTCACGTTCGCACGCGATAGTGGATCTACATTTGATATAAATAATATGCAATTTCTGCATGAATTGCAAAATAAATTTAAAATTAAAGCTGAATAATGATAGTCAATGAATAATTATTGAATCTTTTGCAAAAAAAATATTTACTATTTTTTTCTCGTTTACACCTCGCTTATATAATGGTTTAGGTTGTCTATGTAAAAAACTTTCAATGAAAAAAACATTTTTGTTTAACAAATGCCAATGTGATATCGTGGTCACTCGATTGGACAGTTACTTTAGAAATATATTTCTAAATTATAATTATTTCTAGATTATAATCCTTTCTGGCTCGTCACAATACCTTTACGCTCCCTTTACATATTATAATATATCTAATTCAGTTTATTATTCAAATAATATTATTATATATATAAATATATTTTATTACTCTAGGTTACTGCATAGTAAATACATTTACAAGCACATACACAAGCAGCATCACGAATGGACGGCTCCAATAGCTGTGACGGCTATTTACTGCCACCCAATAGAACATATATTTTCAAATTTGTTGCCACCATTTATCGGACCTCTGATCACAGGTGCCCACGTAACTACAGCCAGCATTTGGTTCTGTATGGCAATTCTGAACACTTTGAATGCTCATTCAGGATATTATTTTCCATTTTTTCCAAGCCCTGAGTCACACGATTATCACCATTTAAAGTAAGTAGAAGAAGAAAGTAATGCTTAATCACAAGGATTCAAATAAATACTTTTAACATAACTCGTATAGATACGAGATTTAGTTAATTAGTAAAATTTAGTTAATGAGTTTACTAAGTATGAACCATAACGATTATTTTTTAATCTAAAATATTTTAATTCTACAGATTCAATCAGTGTTTTGGTGTCTTGGGGGTTTTAGATTGGTTGCACGGAACAGACATACAGTTTCGAAAAAGCAAAGCCAATGCTCGTCTTGCTTCAACTAAAGAAGTGTTATTAAATGGCGAAGATAAAACAAAACTCAAACAAAAATAGCATGATTTACTTGTCGGTAAGTGTTGGCCAGGAATATTTATATATTATCAGTCAGGAAACACACAATATTATTTTAAGCTAGCAAAATTATTAATTATTACCTATAAATCATAATTAAGATTACATAACAAACAACACAGTCGATAAATCATCAGCTCAGAGAATTTTAATAATGTTAGCAGTAAAAAATTTATAAAAAAAATCGCCAAAGTATCAAAAGTATCTCAATATTTATAATTTTTTATGTTACCTGGATATGTGTGTTTCTAAATGAAGCAATCTGTTGACTTACATGTCGCCTAAGATTTTATATATGAAATTTGTAAATATGAAAAACTACAATGATGTAGTATCTACATCATTCTTTTGCAAATTAACAGTGAGGTAAATTCTATTTTAAATGAATATTAACAAGTCAAAATGCACAAACGATACAATTTATAATATTCAAACTTATAAATATTCAAATAATAATATTCAAATTTATAATATATATATATATATATATATATATATATATATATATAATTACATCTCTTAAGTGATATTAATGGATGTACTAGCTATAAGAAGACTATTTATATTAACTATTTATAAATATTATGAAAATTTTATACTTACCGCAAGTAGTGTGATCTAAATACAAACTGATGCCTTTTGTGAATGTGACTGGAATCTATATTTTTTTATAAAAGTATAATATATTAAATGTTTTCAATAAATCAAGCTACTGAACTCATTCAGTAAATGTTATTAAATTATCCAAATGTTGAACTATTTAACGGACCATCTTAAATCTATTTAAACTTGTTTATGTTTTAACAATATTTAACTATAATTTGAATGTTAATATGATATGTGATAGATTCTCTCTGTTTATATAATAATGTATAGAAGATTATATAGTGTATTATATATAAAATAATTCAATATGTATTTTTAATATTTAATATTGTTTTATTATATTAATATTTTAGATGAATTGATTCAAATTGATAATTAATATTCTATTAATTATTAAAGTGAATTGCTTATATTTATTTTTAATATTAAATAGTTACAAATGATATTATTGCCTAGACTAAAATTGCTCCATTCACTTTGTTATTAATGTTGATCTATTTTGAATTTAATTTAAATTTCGCGCTCCGGGGCGAACTTCATGTCATATCTCACATCGCCAAATTTTGCATGCAAATGAACTGTCATCGTCGTAATGGAGATTTTGGCGGAAAGTGCACGCGAGTTAATTAATCGACGTTTTTAATTAATTTGTTGATTAGATTTAATTAATTTAATCGTCAAATGGTTCTACTATTCACGTAGATCAATCTGATCAATAAAAAATATGTAATGATGAACAGATATGTGCTCAAGTACTTAGGTCTTCGACAAATGATGTTATGTCTAATAACCGAATACTTCATTTACAGATTTTATCCATTGTATCCTTTAATTAAACTCATGTATGCAATTGCTACTAATAACCTAATACTTTATTTACAGATTTTATCTATTGTATCCTTTAATTAAACTCATGTATGCAATTTGAAGGCTGCGAGTACTTCTGCATCATATCTGTATTCGTATATTGTCTAAGATAAACTCGCCAATTCTTTCATAAAAGTCTCTGAAATGTTCGCCGCGTTGTGTGTTGAGTAAAGACTCCACTTGTACATTTGCAAATTATGTTTTAGGTTGTATAAAATCAGTGATGAAAGTAGTGTTTTATTTATATATATGCAATTGTAAAATGTATAATTTATATATGTGCTTTTGTAGGTTATACTTTAGTACTCTTCCACCACATATCTCTTCATTATCGAATTCTAAATTCACGAAAGTCTCTAATGTAAGTCGTGTATCGTGTATTGTGTAAAGACTTTACTCGGGCAATTGCAACAGGTCAAATTGACTTGTAAAAGACTAAAGTTATGTAGTGGTTCTAAAGTAGTGATTTTGTGTCGAGTACTTGAGATTTCTGGAAGATGCTCCAGAGGTGGTTCGAGTAATGAGTTAGTGTTCTGGGAGGTGCTGTAGAGGATATCGAACAATGTAAGTGCAAAGCATGTTTTATACAAAGCGAGTCAAACAATATATTCCAGGAATCATATACAGGCATTTATCGTACTACATCTAATACACTCATAATATTTTAAATATTTAATATTTAACTTATATATATGCATATATATATATATATATATATATATATATATATATATATGCATTAAGTTTTTCTTAATTTTGAATTTAAAGCAGTCAAATAATTTTGAAAATCTTTATTTCGACACAATATATTAAGTCATCTTTAGTGAAACAATAGTCTTAGTAGAAATAAATAAAGAAATATTACCCATAATTTATTTTCTGAAAGAGGTTTACAATTAATGACCGAGTTTGTTTTACATGCTACTTTTTATGCTATATATTTCTCAATAATAATATATTTTATGCTTGTTAATCATATTAAATGAAATTATTGAAAGGTGCTTTGAGAACTTGTCTCTTTGTTATTCGATATCATTTATAAAGCAGCTTGTATATATTTTAGTGAAATATTTTTTGGCTCGTACATATATCTGCTGAAAATATGGTTTATATTTGAGTCAATATTTTCTTAAGGTATACTTTATTAATTTTTAATGCATAAAATACAATTTATCTTTTGTTTATTCAACTATTATGCAAATAAAAGATTTTAAATTAATTTGGCAGACATATGTATAAAAGACTATGTTTTTATTTAATTTGCTATGGGGAAAACATGTTGATTCAGTTTTTTTTTTTTAATTTATTCAAGTGCATTTTATACCTGTTTTAAATATATATAAAAGAAAAAAGTTTATATTTCTCTTATGTACTAAAGACATTGAAAGTAATTTATATTATTACAATTCCATAAAGAGTCAATCAGAAATCCTTTCGTTCTATAACAACACTATGAGCTGATTGTAGTGTAGAATTCCAAATTATTAGTTAAAGAACACAGCTTTTTGTAAGCATCGATTACTTATTTGTTGAAGGGGTCCTAGCATTCTTCCTTAGGTAACTCCTAAATTAATGGTATTTTGTTACAAATTACAAATTTCTCTATAAAAAATCTCTTTTTTGTTACATTTCATTATTATACAGAAAATATATTTGTATTTACATTTGACATTTCCAGTATCAAGAATCATGTGTTTTCCCTGTAGCGATATTGACTGCATGTGCATTCTTATTATTGATAACACGATTGTTGGTTTTGATCAAATTATTTCAAATACTCAATATGACTTACCAAATTGTTAATTTTAAAAGTATTTTACTGTAGTTTTATTTTAAATTTATTCAATTATATCGTTTCATAGATAAATTATAGATTTTTATTTTTTTATTATTAAAAACAATTTTGATCAAGACATGCAATCAAAGTTTCGAAGGGTTGACTTGAATGATTAGACAAAACATAATTTTGTTAACAAGTTTATTATTTGATTCAAATTGTAAAAATTATTTAACTCAATTTCTAAAGGATAGCAATCAGCTTTAAACAGTTTTGAAGTTTTTAATGTCCTAATTTTTGAACATTTTTGTTTATTTCATTTTACAAGTTTTATTGAATTTCTTCCGTGGCTTTTTCCAATAATTTGTTTATTATTCAAGTCAACCACATTTTGTCTCGATTAATTGCAAAGGTTTCACATGTTTTATCAAGTCGTATAAACGATTTTAATTCGATTAATATGATTTAATTTCATCCATTAATTAAATAATTCTTTCGAATAATTTTTTTTTTCTAAGTCCAAATTTTGTGATTATAATTCTTTCGAATATTTTTTTTTTCTAAGTCCTTTCAGATATATTTTTTTCTAAGTCCAAATTTTCTGATTATAATTCTTTCGAATATTTTTTTTTTTTTCTTTTAAGTCCTTTCAGATAATTTTTTTTTATAAGTCCAAATTTTCTGAAACCTTTTCAATTAAGACAGACGAGTTATTTATGCATGCTGTATTATCCCAAAGCCAACATTCGAATGAATGAGGCTCACATTGAATATTTCACAACGAGAAGATTTTATTGGGACAAAGTTAAAAATTTTAACTAAGTCCCAGTAATTTTTTCTCGTTGTGAAAATTTCAACGTGGACTTTATTTCATTCGAGTGTTGGTTTTGGGAATTGGTGTAAGGGAACACTAAAAAACATAAAAAAGTTTCAACACTGAACAGAAAAGAGAAAAATTGATCTGGGACTTAAGGGGTTTTTTTTTTAAGCTCTCCACCTCCCCCTTCCTCCTCCTCCTCCTCCTCTTCCCCTTTTTTTCCCTTTTTTCCGCTTTTTTCACATTTTTTTTCCTTTTTTGGTGTTTTTTTTCGCATGTTGTGGTTTTTGGGTAGATTCTTGGGTTCGGCATGCATCTTCCGCAATGTGTCTCTCTGCGTGTAACCTTTCGCATCGTGGACCTCAGGTTGACCATCACTTGGTGTGTTCGTTTCAGGACCCTTTGCGCTCGCCAACAGCCAGCCACCAGCACTGCTCCATTTTTTCTGCTTCAGAGTTGGTCGTCGTCGCCTTCAGCTGGACTCGATCCGTCTCACCATGTGCCTGCCTCCAGAGTGATTTCACCGAGTATGCGGTCACTTAAACCGCTCGGCTATTTAAGTTATTGATGATAAAAGTTATTTTTAATCCTATATTGTATTAATATTGAATTTTAATAAAGAATGTGTATCATACTCATCTCTCTTATTCATCATCTGCCTCTACCCCTCTCTTTCCCCAGTTCTTCCTCTACTTTTTTTTTTTTTCTCTTTATGTATCTCTCTTACAGTCAAGTGCGAACCTTGAATTTTTCAGAAATATTCTAAGTGTCAAGGTCGAAATGCGCCACCTGAATTCAATATTTTGAACTAATACACTCTCTGTTACAGTCAAGTGCGGAACTTGAGTTTTTTGTTTTTCAGAAATATTCTAAGTGTCAAGGTCGAAATGCGACACCTGAATTTAATATTTTGAACTAATATTTGATAATTCCGAAAAACTAGGATTCCAATTTTTCATCCGAGTCTTTGGGAATCGATCTGAAGAACTTTTAGTCAGTCAACGTGATGTCGACGACTA